AAAGAAAGAAATGAGGTCTTGCTATATTGCCCAGGTTGGTCTTGAGTTCCTGGCCTCAAGCAATCCTCCCAAAGTGCTGGGATTACAGGCGTGAGCCACCACGCCAGGCCACTCAACTCTTTCTTTGGACACGGCAGAGGGTGGGGCTCATGCTACTCAAACTGAAGAAAAGGACTTCTGGGAGCAAGCAGCCTCACATCTCTGATTCTCTGCTCACTTCCAGGCAAAACTACAAGAATTATTCCATGGAGTCAAGGACACATTTTCGAATCCAGGCAGCCACACTCCAAGCCAAATCTTCCCTAGAGAATGGCAACAGATCCATGGTCTCATCAGTGTCCTTGTAGCTTTGTACAGCATCCCAAGCTGGAAGACAAACTGAGACAGCTGGATAGAGCTCCTGGAAACATTTCAAAAGATCCTCTCCCCGCGCCCTGCCCTGCCTTTGGGGGTCCACCGGTGCTCCTGTGGGACGGCACAACATGGGTACCCATGCAGAAGCCAAGCCGGCATTTTCACCAGTGTGGCCAAGGGCCTTTGCCAAGGGCAGAGCAGGTGGAGCCCTCTGCCTGCCCTATCACACATACGGGTACTTGTTTTTCACTGTGATGTTTCAGAGAATGTATGAACAGTTTACATTTTCCTTAGAAATACATTGATGGGATCATAGTTGGCTTAAAAAAAAAAAAAAATCAACACCAACCAACCACCTGTAAATCTTTGTTTTCACCCATCACTATCTGGAGGTAAATCTCTTAATAGGAAGCCAAAGGGCAAATGGCTTTTCAAACTTCAGCAAGTTCCCAGCTTCTGGGACTGGAGGGACCTTCCTTTCAGAGGACCTGGGCAATGCCCAGGACAGTCCGAGCCTCAGGCTTTGATGCTTCTGGGGGTTGGGCACCAAGGATGCACACAGACACCCACCACCATGCTTCTCACGCTTCATTTCACACCCTTTGTAACCTCCCAATTTAAAAATCAAGCATGTGTGAGATAAACTTTGAGCCTATCTGTAGAAAAATCAGCCTCCACCAGTAGGTACTGCGGATGCCAAGGCCTGATGGAGGAGCTGTGTGGCCCTTTCTGTGCCAAAACCAGGCGCTGCCGGGGGAAGGGGGAGGTTCTCAGAAACCAGTCTGCGTCCTTGCTGTATGCCAGACTGAAACCACTGGGAATAATTTATGAAACATAAAAATCTTCTGTACTTTGCTCCAAGGTACATTCATTTACTGACAGCATTTTTCTTAGAAATAGAATGGTTATTCTTGGCCTGTTGTATATGTGTTAGATTTTTCAGTTAAGAGAAAAGAGATATTTAAATTATAAAATTTATACACGTAAGAGATCATGCAACGTTTATTTCAGTAAAATATGTGTTGCTTGAATTCTTGGGCAAGGCAAAAAGTCTTGATCAGAAGCCACATGGCCCGCGTATGTTTCATTTAGACAACACAATGTTTTAAACATTTTTGAGGCTGGTCGCAGTGGCTCACGCCTGTAATCCCAGCACATTGAGAGGCCGAATGGGAGTGGAGTTCAAGGTTGCAGTGAGCTGTGATAGCGCCACTGGGTGACAGAGCAAAACCCTGTCTCAAAAATAAACATTTTTAAATCAGTTACCAACATTTACAAATGGGGAGATTTCACAAATGTATCTGGTCTCTGGCCTCTAATTAAAAAAACAAAAAGTGGCAACATTTAGCCTCATTCCCGCAAGACAACAATCAGCTGAAGCTAAGTAGAATCTACTTTAAACACTTATATTACCCTAAAAGCATCTGAATTTGCAACCTCTGGGACTGTTAAAGTGAGAATGTAAGTCCAGGGACCAAAACCAAGTTTTGCCATTCACATTTTAATTTCAGCACCCTTCAACTTAACCATTTGCCTGGAAGGAAAATCAGGTACACAGTAAAAAATATGCATCTGTGAAAACGTGGCTCCCCAAATGCATGAATGCAATGTCTAGAAGAGAAAAACTACAGTCAACTTTTCCAGTCTTCCAGCATTGCTGTATTCAGCAAACACGAGCATCTGCCAGGGCCTGGGTTAACATATTAAAATACAGTCAACCAGCCCTTATGAGTGATACTGAAGTCAGGGGTTTTAGGCAAAACATATTAGGAAAAAAAAGGAAAGCAAAAAAACCTTATCCAAGATCATCTTTTGCACTGAGTACTTTCACAGTGGAAATGCTATGAAAAAATCTCTCATTTTGTCAGAGCTAGACAAAAAAAAAAAAAACAAAAAATGCTCTCCATAGAGAATGATTGCTTTACAAGGTCTCTCTTTTCCAAAGCCTGGATGCTGAGTAGGACAGGGCGAGGGGGTGATTAGAGACAGGCTGTGGAAGGAGGGTGGGCTTTTGTGGCTTCCCCACACGTTAGAATGCAGCCTGTTGCTGTATCAAAGCAGCATGGAACACAGGACACCAAATGTATAATTTGGAAAATTTCAGTTTACAAAAAAACCTCATCACAACATTCATTTCAGGTGCTTCTGCTTTCCACCTGCAACTTCTGAGATAATCTATCAAAAACATTTATGTGAAGGAGAGTAAAAACATTGAGTTTCTAACACCAACCTGTCCTATGCAGGGACCTTTGAAAGTGAAAATTCCATCATGGGTCTCTCAGTGTCTTGAGTCATTTCTGGTCATCGCTTCTCTAACAGTGCAGAACTTCCCAGCATATCTGCCCTGGATAGGCAGCTGACCAGGTGGACAGTTTGGACCTGGAAATATGGAGACCTGAATTCTAGTCCTGATTTTGCTACTGATTTTCAGGTTGACCTTGAGCAAGTCACAGATCCTCTAAAAATTAGCAGTTTGGATTATATTAAGGCTCTTTCCTGTTCTCTGCAGTTTCTGTTTCTGGGTTTTCATCTTCAAAATGAGGCAGCAGATATACCTCCCTACCTTTCTGTCAAAGCCTTGTGTCCCCCAGCAGTCCAACCAGAAATAACACGCTTCCTTAAACAGGGGCTCTACAGTAGCCTGGACACCCAGAGAGCAAATAATTCTCATTTACACAAAGTGTAAATCCTGTACCATACAGACCAACTCAGTTGTTAGGGAAGTAGCAACTGTGTAACATAATCTGAACAGACCCCGGGCACCGGGCAGTCTACCTCAGCCTCTCATTGGTTACAGGCCCTCAGACTGGCAGGGAGCCTTCTAGTAGCATGCGGGTCCCTATCAGCTCGCCCACATGTTGGCAGGTTTCCCTATTACTTATCTCTTGAGTCAGAATGGGAGTGTTTCCAAGGCAGTTATCGTCATTCACAGCAAAAAGCCACGACCTGACATCAAAGCCAGGACCCTAAAAGGCCAACATCAACCGAAGATTTGGCTGCGGTCCAGCTGGGAGGTTCCAGCAACTGAAGAACAGCACTAGGAGGTTTTCAGAAAGCCCCAGCCTGCTGAGTGCTAGAAACATTCAACAAGGTAATCAAATCCAGACACTTTTCTCTGAAGTTACTCCCAAATTCATTTCTTACAAGATGATTGGGAGTTGATAATAGTGTTTTCCTTGTTTACTTGCAATTTAAAACCTAACAGAGTCCCTTTACAACAACTGTTTCCTTGTGTCCTTAGTTTCATCACACTAATTCAGTAATAAATGAGTTGTCTGGATTCCAAAATCCAAGCAGCAAATGGGAACTTCTTATGCCCACCCCAGATGGATCTTTCCAAAGTGCCTTTCCACTTGGGTTAGCACAGCTCCTTTGAAAGCTAGAGCAAAGATCGTTACTGACCAGTAGGGTAAGTCCACAAATAAGAAGCCTCATTTAGGGGCTTGAAAAATCCATTTCTAAAGCAATCTATGGCTGGTTCCACTGTATAAAGTCAACTGTTAAGTGACAAAATGTGAATAGAGCCCTGTGGGGAGGCACATAATTACTGAGGATTTGCTAAAAGTTGACATTTAAGTTTAATCAGAGACATTACAGCTAATATCTCACAAATGACTGGTTTTTTTCTTTGCCTTAACAAACACTTCAGAACATCAGACACCATAGGCTCTGGGGAGATGAATAAAAGAAAATATTAAGTGCTCACTATCAACCAGTTGATAGTCTAAGCACTTTACATTTATGTAATCCTCATAACTACCCTGTGAAGTAGGGACTATTGTTGCCATTGTACAGATGAGAAAACTGAGACAAAGTTTAAAAAACTTAGGCAAGTTCACACAGCCATTTTGCAGCAGAAGGATTTGGAGGCAGGCAGCTGAATTCTAAAGCCCACGCTTTGCTACACTGCTAGTCAAACCATAAAATTCACTTCAAAGTTGGACCTGACTAATACTGACTCTTGGGCCACTGTTAAGGATGGAAACAATACTGGCTAATAACCCCTGGAAATCCTTGGCTGGGAACACATGGAGCATGTTTGTGTGGCATGTATCTGACTTGGAAAAAGCCAAAAGAAAAAACCCTTTAGCAACAGTACTTGCTCATAAAATCACTGAGGAATGATGGAGGAAAGGGCATGATCTAACTCCCCACTTGGATAGGAATAGTTCAGTCAACTACCCCAAGTCGGGAAGTGAAGGCCTCAGGTCTGGACTGAGGTTTGAGGGGTAGCTAACCATATGCTAGAAAAGGCTTCGTATGAGACAATGAGAAGTAGAAACATTGGCAAACTGGAAACATATGATGCTACAGGCACTCAAAAACTTTTTTCAGTTTAAGCACGAATGCTTGGCTAAACATATCACGTATGTGGGTCAAAGTGATCCATGGGCCATAAATTTGTCCCTCCTGAGCTGGAGTTGACTTTATGCAGTTTTATCCCAGCAAAACAGGTTGTGAGCAAATTCATACTACAAGAAAAGCCTGGTTTACTAAAAATACCCAAGCTTATTTATTTATTTATTTTTTACGGACAAGGTCTTGCTCTGTTGCCCAGGCTGGAGTGTAGTGTATAGCTCACTGCACCCTCCAACTCCGGGGCTCAAGCGATCCTCCCACCTCATCCTCCTGAGTAACTGGGACTACAGGCCCGCACCACCACGCTTGGCCTCAAGTTTTAAGTTCTGTCAATTACATAGGGTTGTGGATAAAAGCCCATACTGTGTGCAACTTAGTTGAACTACTTCACCACTTCGAGAATCAGTTTACTCACGCAAAATGGGGCCTAATGCCAATTGCTTCACAGGGTTGCTGAGGATAAAAAGAAATCATGTAAATAAATAGCCTAGCACAGCCCCTAGTATACAGTACTAAGAAGGTAAATTTATGGGTCCACATATGCCGTGCAAAGGCAGTAGTGTTTGGCATGAGGGATGACTGAATCAGGGGCACTAATGGGGCCACTAAGGCTTCTTCATCTCTTGGCTTTGTTCCTGTGTTAAATTTATTTCTTGAACTGGCTTCTCTGTGGGGCAGAGGTACACAACAGTTTAGGCCTCATGTCCTTATAGCTTACAAACAGCAAAGGGCTCCTTTCCCTAACTCCAGTATGAAAAACACAAGGTAAGGACAGTCTAGCTTGGCTCAAATGTCCACCCTTTGAGCAAGTGGTTCTCAAAGTGTGGTACCCAGATCAATAGCATTAGCATCACCTGGTAACTTTTTAGAAATACAAATTCTCAGACCCCCACCCAGGCCCAGCAATCTGTTTTAATACATGCAGATGAATCTAATGCACACTCAAGAACCACTGCCTTAGAATGGGAGAGACGTACTACAATTGGCCCATCTTTCGACATATGCTCAGTGGGGGTTATCACTAAAAGGGAAGATGGGGTGCTAGGAAAACAAAAACACTGTAAATCCATCATTAGGTCCTTTCTTTCAAAAGGTGATATATAGAAAGTATTCCTTGCCACACTCCGAGGTAAAAGAGGAGGATGAGGACGGGGGTGTAGTTTGCAGTAGCGATTAGAAAAAGGGTTATCAGAAAGCTGCCCACCCTGGGAGAACTTTGCCTTTGCCCTTCTCCTTGCCACCCTCCCAAGCTGTCTTTATTAGATCCCTACTGGAGAAGTTCCTTGGGGTGGTAGCTCCCTCTCCATCAGAAATGTTCAGATTCCTTAGGACCTCTCTTTCCCCCCCAATTTTCTCCATCCCTTCACTTAATATATATCTTTTTGAGGAGCTACTGTCCTGCTCTTGTGGAGTTTATTCAGATAGGGAAGACAAAAGAGAAAACAGAATTAGAGGCATGAAGTAAATAGTCACACACCATATAATGACATTTTGGCCAATGATGGACCACATACTTGACGGTGGTCTCATATGATTAAAATGGAGCTGAAAAATT